ACGTAAGACCGTAGGGTGCAAGTGGATCTTCAAGAAGAAGACCGACGTGGATGGGAACGTACACACATACAAAGCGCGATTGGTTGCGAAGGGCTTTACTCAAACTCCCGGAGTTGACTATGATGAGACCTTCTCACCAGTTGCGAAGATTAAATCTATTAGAGTGATGCTAGCAATTGCCGCATTTCATGATTATGAGATTTGGCAAATGGATGTCAAGACCGCTTTCCTTAACGGAAAGTTGGCTGAGGATGTTTACATGGCTCAGCCAGAGGGGTTTGTGGATCCGAAGCATCCGAATAGAGTGTGTAAGCTTGAGAAGTCCATTTATGGACTTAAGCAAGCGTCTCGCAGATGGAATCTTTGCTTCGATGAGAAAGTCAAAGAGTTTGGATTTGTACGAAGCGAAGACGAATCTTGTGTATATGTCAAAGCCAGTGGGAGTGTAGTAAGCTTCCTCGTTCTATATGTCGATGACATATTACTCATAGGAAACGACATCCCGACTCTGCAGGAGGTTAAGTCCTGGCTCGGGAAGTGCTTCGCTATGAAGGACCTCGGAGAGGCTTCTTACATTTGGGAATAAGGATAGTAAGAGAAAGAAGTAAGAGACTAATTGGACTTAGTCAGAATACTTACTTGGAGAAGGTACTAAAACGTTTTAGTATGGAAAACTCAAAGAAGGGAGAACTACCGATACAAGGAAATGCCAAGTTGAGTAAGACTCAAAGTCCGAGTACCGAAGCCGAGATAGCAGAAATGAGCCGAGTACCATACGCTTCCGCAGTTGGCTCAATCATGTACGCTATGACTTGTACTCGCCCTGATGTAGCCTTCGCTTTGAGCATGGTTAGCAGATATCAAGGGAACCCTGGCAAAGCACATTGGATTGCGGTGAAGAACATCCTTAAGTACCTTCGGAGAACGAAAGAATGGTTCTTAGTCCTTGGAGGGAGTGATGACTTGAAGGTGCGAGGGTATAGTGACGCCAGCTTTCAACCGACAGGGACAACTACCGTTCGCAGTCGGGCTGGGTCTTTACCCTAAATGGAGGAGCAGTGACATGGAAAAGTTCCAAGCAGGAAACCGTAGCTGATTCAACGTGCGAATCAGAGTACATCGCAGCGAGCGAAGCGTCGAAGGAGGCAATATGGCTGAAGAACTTCATCGGTGATCTTGGAGTTGTGCCGGCCATAAAGGAGCCCATGGAGATTTTCTGTGATAACGAAGGTGCGGTTGCCTTGACCAAGGAACCGAGGGATCATGGTAGATCTCGACATATCGACAGAAAATATCACTTCATTAGACATCGTGTAGAAGAAGGACAACTCGTAGTGAAGAGGATATCATCAGAAGATAACCCAGCAGATCCGCTTACGAAGGGACTGAGTAGGGTTAAGCACTTACAGCATGCTAGGAGTATTGGGCTGAAGGATGATATTAGCATAGATTAGATTGTATTAGAAACGTATAATAGATAAATGTAATTAACATTTGATGATTAAATAAAGAAGTTTTATTTATGAGTAAAGTTACTATCACATGTTAGTTGTTTAACTATTGTTTCACTTTGCATGTTTTGACTTCCAGAATAATTGAGTTTATTAGGAATAATCGAATTATTCAAATGGTCCACAATCGTTCATATGTTGGGAGTAGATATGAATGAAGATTGTCGTGAATTGGTGTGTAGAGTGTCTAAATGGTGTTAGACATAGCAAGAGTTGCTGCAACGTTCATGAGTGCTTACGAACTGGTTTTGAGCATTGGAATAAACCCGCGCTTGCTGGAATCACCTTATGGAATACGATATAAAAGGTGATCGCAAGACGATAATATCATATGGTCTTAAAACCTAGATATATGGTTTATTATTTGTTAATTGATTGTGCATTGATAATGCGAAAACGCATCAGTAACTTGATGTTATAAAACGCATTGTTGTGTATAGTTGGTTAATGAATAAGTAAATGCATATAAGTCGAAGTTTATCTGTAAATTTTATCCTAAGAGGGTAGAAGAGATATCTTGGCCACTCGATGATTTGATTTGACTTATGTGCCGGGCCCGGTCAGAACTGAATTGATGTGTTCGATTAAGTTCTATGTCAAATAAATCGAAGATCGAGAAATCTAAATGCTAGACTAACCATTCCATAGGATTGTCAGCATGATATCTAACAGAGGACTGTACGATCCCTTATCTAAAGGACAAGATTGATTAGATCAGAGTTGACAGCGTCTTTGAGAGCTACGATTGCAAACCGTATTATACTTGTATAGTTACTAGACTTATCCAAGTGGGAGACTGTTGGAATAGTGTCTAAGGCTATAACTATATTCGGTGGTGCATGGTCCTTTTGGGTTGCCTTCACCATAGCAACTTGAAGGATGATTTGTTAAGAGAGAGTAAATATTATAAGGAATAATATTTAGCTATTTGATTAATATAAGTCATAAATTAATTGGTATTAATTTGGTGACTTAAAGAGATTAATTAAATAAGAGGGTATAAACTGTCAATTGTTTGATAGTTAGACTTTAGACTATAAATCCATTAGGATGGACTTTGGACGGTTTCTAAGAGCTTTAGGATAGCTCAAAATAGTCCATAAGGATATCTATGGAATGGATTTTGGATAGCCTTAAGTGAAGATTATCCAATTAGGGTTTAGGGTGAAACCCTTAAGGAGTCTAAAGGTATAAATAGGCCCTTGGGGTGTGGAATTCGTGTACAAGCTTTCAGAACCTAAAGAAAGGAACCTCTGGCCGAATTCCATCCCCTATCCTCTCTCCCAAATCATCTTGCTTGCTATTGGTGTTTGTGAACCATCAGAGGAGTGACAATTGTGACTCTAGAAGCTCCAAGACAAGAAGATCAACAAGGAACTCAAAGGTATGATTCTAGATCTGTATTAATGTTATTGTTTAACCTAATTAGCCATTAGAAGTCTTGGATTCAAAAGCATGTTTGATAGAAAGCCTAGATCCAAGCAATAGGGTTTTGCATGCGCACATAGGAAAGTTCTTATGGCTAAAACCCAACAGGAGGATGTTGGCCACACTCTCAAATTTTGGGGAAAGGTCGTTAAGGGCATATGAGATAAGGTTCCTGTGTTTGACTTGTTCTCTAATACCTTCCAGCAGGTCAGCAAGTTTCTTCACTTTATCTAGATTAGGCATGAACATTGAGATCACCCATTTGAATGTTTCTGAGCTCTGTATCATATTCCATAGTAGTGGCTTCTTGATCATCATGGAAAATAGAGTGAATATTGAGCCATATTTTTCTACTATTGGCTTCTTTGGGGTGAACAAAGATAGAACGAAAGAGCCAAAGTGTTACGATGGAGTCAAGCTCTAACCATTCATAATCCGTATGAGGTTGATAAGGTTGGTCATATGTGTCGTCGATGTGATCCAACATGCCATACATAATATAATGGGTTTTGAAAAGGTTGTTGCATGGCTCATAATTTCTGGTTGGAAGATCTAGAATCAATGGTACGTATGTTTTGATCTTTGTTATACCATAGCCTTATGTGTAGGTTTTGATATTATTTGATCTCCTGGTATGATCAATGAAGACTGAAAAGAGTAGGTGAGAGAAGAAAAGGAGGGGGAAGACGACTGGTGAGGGAATGACACAGTAGAGGATCGACTATTAAGGTTAGATTAGCTTTAAGACCATGCTAAAAGTTGTTTTCCCGTAATCAATCATTCATTAAGAAAACATATATATACAAAATACAACCCCTTTGGGACAAATACACAATATAATGGGCTAAGTAGAATGACCTAGATTATAACGAGAAGAGTACATAAATAGGTATCCAGTAGCAATGAGTAACTGTTGAATTAGCTTGGATTATCAAATTATTAGAATAATTTCAAGTTCCAAATGTCACTCCTATCCCACTTAAATATAACAATTTAGCAATATGCATTGTTACCAACCCTGTGAAAATTTCATGAAAGAGCCAACCATATCGAATTTGATTGTCATTTCATTCCAGAAAATGTTCATGATGGTCTTATTACATTGTCCCATGTTAAGACGACGGATGAACAAGTGACACATGTTCTTACTAAAGCTTAAAGTGGTCATAATCAACAAAAAAGCAATTTCCAAGCTTGGGTTATTGCCATATCCTCGGACTTGAACCAAGTTAGCAAGGAACATAATAAACAGCCCCAAGGGCATTTATGTATTTAACATAAAGTTTGTTTGAATTGAATTATATTTGATTATCTAATATTTTCTCTGTATATATGTAGCTCATTTGTTAGATCAAAGTAATCCATTAAAACTTTTCCATCTAATTCTCTTTCCATTACTTAAATCATGACACCACTTGCGAGCTAACATTCACTTGAGGAGGTAACAACGTAAATCAACATTTTAACACCTATGTTATGTATATTGGCTGGAGAAGATTCTTGTTTTCTGCATATGAAATTTCAAAATTATTTATCAAAAACAAAAAAAAAATCCAAGACTCTTTTGTAACCCATGAGGCCATAACATGTACATAGGCTTACCATATTATTAAATCCTAAATACATAATCTTTACTTCCTAGGCTTGACCTAAAAGACGTGTAATCTTTTGTTTATCACATCTGCAAATTCTTAATTTCGTAGCAGTAATCATGCCAAAGTCCCATTATCTTCTGTTTGGTTCCCGAAAAAATTGAAGGAACTAATCAAGCACACGTTAACTTTGTTCGATGATGCGATGGAAATTATCCGCGTTTGCCTTCTTTAAGATGGGCATGCAAGAAGACTTTTTTTTTTTTTTTTTTCCTATTTTTTATTTATCTACAGTTGCTTAATCTGTTACCTATACTTACTCTAAAGGAATTATTATCACAATCTAGTTTATCCGCAAATACATTATTACGTTGCTTGTGCGTTCCGAGAACAGCCAAACCCCCATGTGCTATTACCTAAAAAAAGCTTGGTGATGATGAATGTAACAATCTAGCCAGTTCGGAACCTTAAATAACTTCTTTATAATTAAAGGCCAGTTATTTATTTCATGGACAACGTGAGATAGCTTCATTACGTAGCTGCAAATGTTTTTTTTGGCTATCAAGTACAAATAGCAAGGCCTAATAATTACATGGAAATATTGTTTTCTCGACACTCTTTCCTGAGTTAAGAAGAATACATGTACGATTTCTTCAGGCTCTATTTTTAGTGTCGTTGTTCCAGCTGCTAATTTTGAAATGAACCTGCGTTAATAAGCTACATTTTCATTAAGATTAATTTAAAATCTTGGTAGAATTCACAAGATTCATCATGACATCAACTTGTACCCGAAGAGAAAGTATATAGTCTAATGCTTCTTTAAAGATGGTGAAATCATCCATGGCTTCTCCACCTGGTACAAGTTTTTTAAGAACCTGGGTTTTCTTCTTCACCAATCTTTTAGCAATACAAGTCGCTAAATCTGATCGACGAGGTCCCATCTTCTTAATTCGTTTCCCAAAACCACAACTCGTTTTCAAGATTTTCTTGCTTCTTATTCTCTTGTTGCAAGTGACTTTTTGGTGTGAAACCATGAACTTTAATTCATGGCTTTCTAAGTTTTGCACGAGAATCTCGTTTTCTTTGTCTCTTTTGGCCTCTGAAATGAGAGCTTTACTCCAAGAAGTTGTAGCATTTTTTGCAGTAGCTAAGGCGATGTCTGCTGAAAGCTTTATTTTCTTCTTTCTTTCCAAGAGATTCATTTGCTTCTTTGAAGAACAACATATTTGAAGTCCCTGAACCCATTTCTTGATAAATTCTTTCTTGAGTTGGCTAGAATTGTGCATTTCAGTTTCCTGAAAGTTATAATGATATCGAAAAATAAATGTTCACAGTTGTAATATATTTAAAAAAAAAACATAAACAAATAAGCACTAAAAGTATCATAAAAATGTATAATGTTTCGTAATTATAAAGATGTTAAAAATAAGTGATTTGAGTTCTAAAAAAGTTGACTCCATGGAGATAGCAGATGTATTAAACTTGCAGCATGATATACATATACATGCCAGTGTATAAGTCTATATTTAACTTAGAGCATTAAAAAAGTAATTCATTCTCAATATAAATGAAGTTTTTTACATATATATGCCTGTGTATTAATTAATACTATATATAAGTCTCTATGTGGCATCCACTCTTCAAAGTAAAATGAACATGAAAGGTCATCAAAATATTCCTAAACAATAAATCAAATATACAAAAAAAAAAAAAAAAAGGAACAGAAAATTCGATAGTGATAATTTTGTGTACAAGACCTTCGAGATAATGGATTTGAGTGCAACAACAAAATCCATGAAAAATAATACAAGAACTCTTTTATAATATTAATCATATAAAATAGGAAGTTTGTGCAGCGATCCAAAACAATGTGTAAATTAATACTTGATATGTACCTATAGATTCAGATTCTACTGACAAAGATTCATGAGAGTGGTGGGAGAACTGTATATTTGCAGAACTTTTGTGGGGATGGAAGAACAAAACGTGTAGCAGTTGAAGAAGTCGAGAGTTCAGAAGAAAAAAATGGAGTTGAAAGAATTATTTATTAATTGAAAAGGGTAGTTGGTGGGGTTATTAGGAAAAGACATTGCACATGCAATCACATGGATATCCATGGCCTACAAATTTCCTTAAAGCCCTAAGATGGAATGCTGCCTATAGTGCAATTTACCAATACCACTTGATGTTATATAAGGTTAATTTGTCTTTTATGCATTGAGTTCTACGTAAATCATTACAAATACATAGGGATGTACGTATTCAAATGTAAATTAGGGTACGAATAAACATTAGAAGAGTCGTTAGGAAGATGCTCAAAAGTCGGGAGATCATATTTCTCAAGATTAGCCTGGGAGACGTTAAGAAAAAAAAACATGGGTGTCAATTCCAAGATAGTCGGAAGCCTTGACCATGAAAAGGAAATATCTAATATAGTGTAGGAATGGTAATAGCATTGATAACAATGAACACATTTGTAAATACCAATCCTTAAGTCAAACAAACAGTGAAATTGGATTCAAACTGTAACAACGTAAAATTTCTAATTTAATTTTTCATTTTTAAACCACTAAATGTATATCATATCATAATCTCAAATCCGTAACAATATTGTTTTGAAAACAAATCCCAAGATCTCTCTAGCATGAATTCCATCAGTGTGGGTGTGTACAAGTCAAGCCGTCGCTTTCCCACGGTCCTCGCTGGTACTTGAGACATCAAACACAACAACTATAAGCATAAATGCTTAGTGAGTTCCCCAAAATACCACATATCACAAATACGCCACTCAAGGCTAAACCCGACCCTCTGGTCACGATGTCTCAGCGGGACCCTCCAGTCCCGCAGCTCGTTGGACCTTGCGGTCCAGTCATAGCTCATTAGGCCCTCTGGCCCGGTCGGAATCGTTGGACCCTCCGGCCCGGTCTATATAATCATACTGCATACAGCTAACACATAGCACGTAATCTCTAATATAACACATAATCTCATACATAGCACATAAGACCCTCTGGTCAACTCGAAATACCACTCAAGGTAACGTATAGTGAGAAGACTCACCTCGCGTATCTCGGAATCACTAGCGCTCGATCTCCCGAGCTATCATCCTCCTACAACACAAGCATATCTCTACTTAATACCACCTTGACCCTGGCTGACTAACACTACAAAGTCAAACTAGTCAACTCTGGACAACGGTCAAAGTCAACCCCTGACTGATTCTACTCGCCGAGTCAACCCGATGACTCGCCGAGTCCCCAAGCTCAGAACTTCCCTCAATCCGCGACCTGACTCGCCGAGTCACCCCGAGACTGGCCGAGTCCAACAACTCTGAGTCCACTCCCACCCAACTCACCGAGTCATCCCTTGACTCACCGATTCTCGACTCAACCAGGAAATATTGGGACTCTTCGACAAGACTCGCCGAGTCCAAGAACAGACTCGCCGAGTCTAAGGCTATCTTAAACCTACTCGCCGAGTTGTTCATCCAACTCGTTGAGTTCCTGCTCATCTTCAAGCAACTCGTCGAGTCTACCCATGTGACTCGCCGAGTACCACCAGTCTGAATGCATACAGAAGCATTCCAGGCCATGCAATTGATCCAAAACACAGATCTAGCCTCCTACAACCCATCCATCACGTAAAGTGGCAAACTTTTTGTGAATCCAAAGAGATCTAGGCCATATACACTTTAGGGATAGGGTTTGGGACATGATGGCTTCACTAAGCACTCAAACACAGGGACTTTAATGCACTCTAGACCTTCCCCATTCCAGATCTGAGGTAGCAACCTCAGATCTAACCTCCAAACTCCAAAACATCTCAAGATAAGCTCCCCATAAACCTCAAAATGATGAATTCAAATGAGCAACAACCCAAGAACGAGATATTACCTCAAAAGAGCACCCCAACTGCAATGAAACTCAAATCCAAGCAAAGCCCCTTGCTCCAAGCCTCCAAACTCCCAAGATTCGTTCAACAAATACCCTTCAAGCTCCCAAATGCACTTTGATTCACTCACACACGAATGCTAAGGGTTTCTGGACTTGAGGATGAGTAAAGAGGCTGGGGAGTGGATGTTAAGTTCTTTATATAGGGCTCAACCCCGAGAATTAGGGTTTTCTCCACTCAGCGCCTACTCGCCGAGTCCAGCCTTGGACTCGCCGAGTCGGCCACTTAACACACGACCAATATCGCGACCCTACTCGCCGAGTCTACCCATGAACTCGCCGAGTTTCCTTTTTCAATTTACTCTTTTAGCCCTTCAACTCTACTCTTGATATTTCGGATGTTACAAAAACCAAATAATCAAATGTGCCATATTTTTTGTCGTGGGCTGAGTCCAAATAAAAAGGAGACATTTGGTGAAAGGAATGTTGTTTGACCCAAATTTCTAATGTAACATCCGTTTTCCGAAAAAGGTTCGCTAAAGACTTAAGGAATAAAAAATTAGGGTTTTTGGGAAAACCCTCTACCACGTGGTGCATGGATTCCCACAACTTGGCGTGAGATAAATGAAACGTGCATTTTGGGATGCCCCCACGACATAGAAAAAGGAAAACCACGGTGTGGAAGCTGATGCAACCCAAGCCCACGAAGTTTTTGGGTTTCCTCCATATTTAAACAGCTAATTTCAAGATTAGGGAATCATATCCAGCCCCTAATGCCTCACTAATAAAACCCTAGCCTCCATGCATGCTTGATAGTCCATTCCCTTGATTTGGAGCTTTGTTCTTGGATTTATAATGCAGTTGCAGAAGAAGAAAGTTTACAAGGAAGCAAGGAAGCAAGAAGCAAGTTTTGATCCAACATTCTCTTCAGTTTTCTGAGTTGTTAAAGGTATAAAGTGATGGGTTTTACATTCAATAACGCGGATAAATCCTTATACACTTAAAGATACATGAAACATATTAGATCTAGTCATAACTCTATTGAAGTAACATTCTATTGAATAACAATAACCCTATAATCCAAGGTAATTTCGAAAAACATAGAATAAAATATACCTCTTGATTTTTTTAGTAAACAATCAAACAATCCTTTTTATAATTGCCTGTAAACTAGCATCATAAATCTCGTGTCTTTGATGGTTCATACCCACCGTTAACAACAATGAGGCTCAAGAGTGAGGAGAGGAGATAACCCTAATTTGATTAAAATAATATTATTTTAAATTGATAAATATCTAACTTTTATTTATCTGCAATGAATATTGTAGATGCCCTGGAATACCTTAAAAATCATCCACCCCTTCCAAGGAATGTTCTGGAACCTCTCTTCTTCAACTATTGAACAATTACACTTTAACCTTTGCACTTTTAATTAATCTAATTAATCCCAAAATTAATTATAATTAATTTTTTTATTAATTTTTAATTAAATATTACTATTTCTAATTAATATATTATTTTCATAACATATTAATAAATTAATTTAGTGTTATTTATTAATCATATTATAAATCAATAAATCATTCTCTCTCTCTCTCTCTCTCTCTCTCTCTCTCTCTAAAAGTCATCCTATTCAATTACTAGGTTTGAAGACAACTCAAAAGGATTTTGCTAATAATTCAAGTATATACTAATTTAATTATTGGTTTAGACACCTAATCCAATAGTCTCCCACTTGGATAAGTCTGTAACTTCAATTAACAGTATAACTTCTAAATTAAATAGAAAAGACTGATTCCATAGCAACTACTGGACTCTGAACTTAAAAGACATTAGTCCTAAGATAAGTAATAAATATTTCTACATTCTACTAAATATATTACCGACATGAGACATGGAGTAGAATCAATCTCATTGTCCAATCTTGTTACTAGATTTCCAAATTTATGATGATAACATAAGACATTAAAATGAACACATCAATCGAGTCTTGGCCAGGACCAACATTATAAGTTAACATCAAATCATCGAGGGGTCCAAAGACATTACTTTTTCCATTAAGGCAAAAGGAAAAAAAATAAACTTTGACTCATACGCTTGTATCCTTTACTTATCAAATCATAAATGATTATGCATTTTATACCATTATGTTACCAACGTGTTTTCGCAACACCAATGCACAACCGACTTGTATATAACTTATATATCACCATTTCAAGAATATAAGATATTATTGTCCTAAAATTACTCGTGATTTAATTGATGGAGTGATTCTTTAAGTGTGGATTTATCCAATACTTAAATCTCTATTTGTATGTACTCATGAATGTTGTAGCAATACAATTTCTGTGTCTAACCTCATTAGAAAATCTACAATCCAATCATGACAGTCTTAATTCACTACTTACTCCCAAAGTATGAGTGACTTTGGCATTTGAATAATTAAATTATTCGGGAAGTAAAACATGAAAAACGAAACACAAGAATAAATAATTGACAAAGGTAGTAAAGAAACTGATAAATAATCTCTATTATTTAAACACCAACGATCAATTATATTTATTTTTGTTACAAGTTTCAACCTAGTCATATAACTACTAAAACTAATATCATCTTTGACACAAATGCTCCTAGCATGATGACTATGTTTACTCCTACTCAGTGCCTTTGTGAGAGGATCTATAGGATTCTCTTCTGATGAAACTCTCTTCACTATGATATGACCTTTTTCTACTTTATGTCTCATATAATGGTACTTTCTGTTGACATGTCTTGATTTACCGTGATCTCTCAGTTCTTTGGTCAAAACAACCGCTCCTTCATTATCATAGAAAAGTTCCATAAGCTCCTGAATGGTTGGAATTACTCCAAGGTCTCCAATAAAGTTTTTTAGCCAAGCCGCTTCCTTTGATGCTTCACTTTCCACTATGTACTCTGATTCGCAAGTAGAATCAGCCACAATGTCTTGCTTGGAAGTTTTCCAAGTAACTACTCCAACATTTAATGTAAACCCCTAACTAGATTGAGAATGAAAATTTTTCTATCTGTTTGAAAACTTGTGTCACTATACCTAGTCACTCTCAATGAATCACTGCCTCCAAAGACTAACATCATATCCTTTGTCTTCGCAGATACTTCAGAATGTTCTTTACTGCTGTCTAGTGAGCTCTACCAGGATTTCCTTGATAGCGACTGACCCCATGCTTAATGAAAAGGACACATCAGGGCGAGTACATGTAATAGCATATGTGATCAG